ATTCCATTATTAGATATATTGCGCTGTTAATAAAGTAATAAATATCAATAAAAAACAAAATTGTAAAAATGTATTTTTTAATAGTTCTTGAATTATTCATTATTATTATTATTATTATTTATTTTTTACTCGGATTTTTTTTAATTTCTTATTGATATTAGGTATTTTTACAATTTTGTAGGGATAATTTTTCCGGAAAAATTGTTAGTAGGAAAGAGAACTAGTCGCTATTGATCAATTTAATCTTCTCCGGTCTCTTTTAGTATAAGACATATGATAGTAAAAGCACCTGACTAATACTAAAATGAAAGCGTGCTTCATTTTTTTAAGCTGTAAGGCTTTCTTTTGGTATTCAATTATGCAAATTTCTTTCGAATAAATTTTTTTTCCATACGACTACTATAGTCAAATTATTTTCCTATACGAATGCTTATTTATTATTTATTTGGAAAGATAGAATTTTTTCTATAAATTTCTAAAATAAATAAAGACGTGGTGATTTTTCTGACAGGCACAGAATAAATATATGCATTCGTCAGAGGTATTTGCAACTGGCATATGAAACCGAGAAACGAGCGTACAGAACAAGTTTAGTCATACCAAATTGAGCGACAAATTAAAAAACCCATGGGCGACGTCACCGTTTATTCATTCCAGGCGGATCAAATGACTTACAACATTGATGCGACAATCTGCCTATATCTCTTTTATAGTCAGCTTTAGTGTATCTTCGACAAAGCCAAATAGGCAATTCGTCTATTTGGGAAATCTATTCCATTACCTGTTAAACGTTGTTCTCAAATATGCTGTATGCTTATAACTAGATTTATGTAACTTTTAAGGTTATGTAAACATAGCTGAAAATAATAGTTTTTTCATAGACATTAAGCGTTAATAAATACTTGGATAATTGGATCATTATTATCTGATAAGTTAAAAGATTTATTTTAAATAATATTTCACACAGAGCCGTAGCTAGGCCTTGGAAAAACAGGTCCAACACTGATGAACCTTATTTTGGCTTTGAGTTTATATTTTTAAACACTAGATGGTAAAATCAATATAATTCAAGTTGTATTGACTATCATTTTAAGGTTAATTACTGTAATTACAGAATAGTAAACACTTAATGAATTTGTAGTTAATTGAACCAAGTTTAAATCTACCCTAATTATTAACTGTAAATACTTCAAGAGGAATTAGTAATGACGTACATTATGGCTTTTACTAATCATTAGTATTGACAAGAAGTTCTAGTGTACTAATTAAACATAAAAGAACTTTGAGTAATCTAAATCTCCTAAGAAATTATCTGTTGACATTAAAGTGGAATCTTATGTATAAATAGGCGTGTAGTTTAAAAAACAACTATTTTAACTATATTTTTTATTGAATAGATATGAATAATACAGAGTATTTAGCAAGTAAGAAAGCAATAAGAAATCACCGTTTGATATTTAATGATTTTTTCTCAAATTATAATATACTATTAAATATAAAACATTAAAAGTTATTATCTAAGCTCACGGTTCTAAGCCATACCATTCACATTATGAACATTCCAGCAATATTAGTGGATCTTTACACGAAACAATTTACCTGGATCGTCTAACCACTACATTTTTTTAAAAAAGGCTTAGTACCTTAGAACACTTAAAGTTTGGTATTCAATGTTAAACTTTTTTTAAAATAAGATAATTTAATTATTTTTATTTTTATTTCTATTTCATCATCAAAATTATAAGACACTTCCCGTAAAGATAAAAACGTGAAATATAATACAAAGGTAAGGTTGGGAAAAAATCTGAAAATTGTTATTTTCTCAAAATAAACAGTCATATAGGTAAGAGCATTATTTGAGGAAACAGAGAAGATAGTCGCCCGTTCTGATTTTTTAACGACTTATGAAAATTTTGTATTTTGCTGGTCTTAGCTATAAAAAAAAATTATTTCCTTGACAAAAATCTAATTGTGAGAACTCCTTCTATCCAAAAAAATCCACCTATCAAAGTATTAATATCTAATTTGTAGCCAAACTTTAGTTCATAAACTTTTTTTTACTTTCATGTGTAACATTGCTTTATTATTCGTATTGCTTATCACCTGTATAGTTTCTAGCCAAGACTGGCTCAGTACTTATTTAGTATTTACTTGGGAGACGGGGAGAAGAGAATTTAAAAGCAAAAAAATTGTTCATATCCTCTCACGTGATTCATTGGAAATTGATGCCAAATCTGTTTTATTGCTCATTCAAACACTGGCCGAGTATTAAGTAACAATATTGCTCGTGAAAGTACAATTGAAGATTATGAACTAAAAAAAGACGAAACTTGTCCAGAATTTATATATCTCCACTTTGATAGACAAACTGATTTGTGAGGGAAGAGGTTGGAACTTGGCTTTTTTTTCATAGCGAGTTTTTGTTGAGGATTAAACTAATACAAAGAAAACAATAATTATACAATTTATCAAATTTTATATGGAATAAAATTAAAACTCTTAATCTTACTACTTAACTTAAGAACAATTTATTACATGGAAAATATGGAATCAGATAGAAAACAATGTACAGTAAGTAAGGAAACAAGTCAATTGTTTTAAACAATGAGAACAATAGAAAACCGTATCCTCACTTACTAAACACCCTATATAAATATTTTTGTTTTGAATAAAAAGTATGATAAAACAATGTGTGTAACACCCTTCTTTAGAAAAACATGATGCTTTATGAGATAATTCTAGCACTGACGTTTATCCGGATAAATTTTAGTACCTTTATGTAGCGTGTAAAAACAATAATCTGTTTTACACTGTCAATAATATCTCTATTTTCATGAAAATAAAATACATACTTCCATTCTCCCCTTGATCTGTCACACGTGCAACAAACTGGGGCATTACGATAATTCATGGGCACGAAATTCACATTTTCACAAGAGGTTCTTATTCGACATCCATATTGGCAATGATAAAATAATGGCCCCGTGGTAGCGACACGTTTCTTGCTTATATCACTGCGACGTCACATACGTTTGGTACGATAACGTGTACAAGAAAAATACAACAACCAATTGAGAACACCCCCGAAAACCCAACACAATATAAATATATTCAATGTAATTCACGTTTTGTTTAATGGGAATTTATTTTACTTTGTGAACCTACCATAAATATTAAAGATACTTCCACTCAGCAATCATGATGCATTATTACTTAAATATTTCGTAACGTTAAGTTCTAGATAATTATATTCTCTCATTAAGTTTTAATTCTCGTTAATTTTCAACTTCAAAACGAGTGTTTAAATTTAAAACAAGACATTGATTTTCCACAAAAACTTCTGCTACAGCCGTGATGTATATTTTTACTGCCATCCATGTTTCTACATTTTATCTACAAGTATTTTTAGAATATTTATAAAATAAATATTTAAAAACAAATTTTAAACGAAAATTTGTTTTACAAAATTTAATTTGCTGCTCAAAATAATTATTTATTGGCTCATATAACAATCTAAATATAACATAACGGAATCCCTTTTTAGCGATTCTCCGACGAAAAGTGCGTGCCCAATCAATTTAATGTTTTAAAAACAGAATTTTGTATTACTTTCCAGGGTTACGAGCTGTTTTATTATTATTCTTTTCCACTCCCTTCGTCAGATTTCCGCAACAGTGAATCTTCGTTTACGCTCGTACGACATGCTGTTCGTCGAGCGTTCACTCAAACCCAGATCGGTTCAATAAACTCAGTCCTTACAATCCTCCTACGGGTACAAAAAAACATGATCATTTCACTTGCACCGCTACAAGAGAAATAAGTCGGCGCTTTACGACTGCCGGTGGTAATTCTTCGAACGATGCACTATACTTATTATAATCATAGATCACACGAGTACCTATTACAACCGAACAGGTATGACACGGCGCAGCGGTTTAGCTAATTTCAGTAGGCAACGCTTTTTTATTGTACTTGAAAACTTCTTGCCGTGTAATGTGCTCCTTACTCAAACCGTCACTATACGCCTGCGGTCGAAGACAACACACTCGCGCCGCCACTGTATCGCTCCCAATTGTGTAGCGCAATGCGGCAATCAGCAACAATACTTGAACATTTTTAATGATAACCGTAGTGATAATAAAGTATATTATTGCCTAACTACACGCACCAGCACACTCGTCTAAACAAATTTATATTATATTACACCACCAAAACATACAAGTTTTGTCACGACCACTCGCTAGCCTTATAACATTTGGCCATTATTATTTTAAACACGCGCGTTCTATAGTTAATTCACATTATCTGAACAAAACTTTCCGTGAACGGCCAAAAACGGTTTGGCAAAGTTGGCGGCAACTATCCTGTACTACTAACTAAGAGACTGGGTGTTGGGATACACATTATTCCATGTGTGTGTGTGTGTATAAAACAAGTAACTGGCTAATATAGTCTGAGCTACGTTCCTCCTCGGCACTATTTCAAGTTATATTTATGTCACGATCCCAACAGAAAATTGTGATTTCTGAACTTTCTATAACACTCGAACACGCCTAGATGTTAAATAAAATTCTATTTACAATATTCACTTAAAATGTTCGTTATTGACACACGGAAGGCACACGGGTGTACATATAAAACCATATAAATATCGTGTTTTTTATCGGATTAGACGACACATATTTTAATCGATCGTAAAAATTTTGTACAATTTGGTGAGGTTTCGTGTTTTANCACGGGTGTACATATAAAACCATATAAATATCGTGTTTTTTATCGGATTAGACGACACATATTTTAATCGATCGTAAAAATTTGTACAATTTGGTGAGGTTTCGTGTTTTAATTCACATAGGACTTCTGTAATCCAATTGTCTATGTCGTTTTCTACAAAAAACGTCCATTCATAATTAAATTGCAGGAAAAACCATCACGAAGAATTAAAAACACATTGCTTCAGAGTGAATGAGAAAACTCAAATTTGATTTTTTTTTTTTCAGCATGCAATCGGACGTACTACGGTGAAGTGAGTAGAACATACGAGCTGGAAGTCCGAAGACCAAGAGAGGACCGATTGCCATTCTTGTGCTTTTTGAACTTTACGGCTGCCGGCAACAAATTCGGCGACATTATACAAGTAATTGAAAACACAATCAAAGCTTTACAATAAGACTTAGTAATAGTTATTTATAGTTTTATGGTGATTCTATAAAAGAGTTAAGAAAGTCAAAAATGGTAGAAATGTGAAAAGTGTTTAAGAAAGACTAAAGTCGTAATGCATTAGTCAAGATTTTAGAAACAAACATTTATTACGACGAAAACAATTCTTTTATTTTATAAAGTAGAAAGTTTTTGCCGTATAGTAAGTTATTCGAATCATTTTTCCGAATTATTTCAATCGAGTCTGTATAGTAGTTTTTAGAAGGATTAACAGTTGTGGAAACTCGGACTGGAGTGAAAATAAATTAAAATGACAACTTTCCGTTGCAAAGCTATATCTGGATACTATATTATTATCGTTAAACATAATATTCGGTTAGACTTGGTTAACTGCGCTCTTCTAAATGTTGTTTTCGTTATTAAAACACGAGACGACCACCGACTAAGTTGGCAAAATACCATTAAATGAGCGGTGGTGAATCCAAATGCACTACGTTCGGAAAAGTTTGATTGAAAAAGTCATAAAATAACTAGCCAAATGCTTCTTTCATAAAAAAAATAATAATAATAAATAAATACAAAACCTATTTAGATCAGGCGTGCAGTCCGGAATCGTCTTTTATACAAAAATAAAATTAAAACAATAAAAAGCAAAAAACTATAATTGGAAAATAAAAGAATAGAATACAACGAAAACTGCAAATTTCAATCTCGTACCTCCCTAGAGCGCAAAAGAAGTTTTTAAACATTTATTCTTTAACTGAACATCTACCTTGTGTAAACTTCGCTTTTTACTCGGCAAACAATCAAAGTTGACTGAGTGCATGATTATAAAAAAAAAATTTTAAGTTTTTACTTTTCATAAATAAACTTTAAATAACTCGTTAAAAACTATCTAACCTAAGCGAGTTTTTTTATTGCTCGAAAAGATCAGTATGAGACCGTCTCAAATTGTCTGGAAAAGTCAACCGCAATGAAATTTTAATAGAATTGCGGTCAAGAGATACGTACGATTTTTATTTAATGTTTGATTACATTAAAAATATGAATTTCCAACAAAACTATTTCTTTTCGTCATTACCATTAGGCATTTATAACCACATAAAAATAGATTTAATTATTTATTACTGTACTCTGAAATCAAATTCAATAATATTACCAAATAACGTGGCAAATGTAATTTTTTATTTCCGAAAATGTTAAAATATTTTGGCATTATTTGCATGAGTTTTATAATGATTGACATTATATTAATATACATACAAATGGTTGAAAAATACTTTGTCATTTACAAACGTGAACATTTAATTATAATTAAAAATATTTGATGTATAACCCAGTTATTATCAAATAGAACTGCTAAATTTTTAACGCATATTTAAGATATTTTATATTTTTAAACACATTTCTTATTCTATGTAAAAAGCTTTTAAATACTTTTTTCCAAGAAATATATTTTGTTCTTTAAATTGAATAAAACAGTATCACACGATAGTTAACGAATTTAACCAAAGCCATTTTTTACTAGGAGTTACATGCACTTCCGAGCATAAAACACTACTACTGTAATAAAAAAATTGTGTACATTTTGTATACAACCACGGTTGATAATAAATTATAAAATTGGTAGTGCGTACCTGGAATATACAAGCACACTCACATTTGGTTTGTATTTACATAGGACTTGGTCTTTGTACTGCATTCTGGCATGTAACACATACTTGCATGCTAACTATTCAAAGAACCCCTAGTTGTTTAGGTCCATCAAACGAACTCAAATACATAATGCATAAAACCTAGGAAGGCATAAGATTTTGTTTTATTCTTTTTAATGGTTGTCGCGTCCAGACTAGGAAGACACTCAAAGGTGTCCCTTTATCAAGTATGTCTATTCCTTATTGTTTTTAAAACGTCCATTGTCATAAAGACCATAAAAAAGCGCGCACTTTGTAAAATTGATAGGGTTATTTAAAAAGTTGTAATAAAACAAAAAAGAAAGAAAATTAACTAAGCCTTTGGGTGAATCTCATTAAATGAACAAAACGTCTCTGCGATTGTGTTACAGCTGAATTCATTCAGATTTGTTTCACCAGAAAAAATATTAAAAAGTATACGTTTTACTTTTATTTACTAACACTTAGTCTGAATTGCAGGCGATGAGCTTTCAGTCCATTTAATTTACGAACCCGAACGATTAATGTATTTAGACGCTACACATATAACGTATAATATCTATCGTAGCATACACTCTTTTACTTATTTATATCAATATTTCGGTTATTTTGGATAAATATTTTTAGACTAAACAAATCGAATTTCATTATTCTTATTTATTTTAGCTGTTTATTATTAACAATGACCCTGAGAGAGGATAATAACCACTTGGCATAACCACAAATATTTTTGAGCTCCAATTTTGAATATATGTTTTTCACAGCATGTGTACAGCAGAGAAAAAAAGTTCCTATAGAAAGTCGTAAAACTTCCCTTTAACTCGTAACCAACATGTTGGTCATTTGTTCTGGTGACCACAACCTATTAGAAATAATTGTCCAAAATTACTAGATAGAATTGTTGAAAACAACTAGTGAATAATTAATACTAATACTAAGACGAATTTGGTGATTTAGTTAGTCAAAGTGTTCATTATGCTGCATTAAATTGACATAGTTGTTTAACAGTCACATAGTAATAACAATAGAATTTTACAATTTTATTTCATTGTATGCAGTCTCGTTGCTCGGTTAAGTGATAAGATATCGGAAAATTGGTGTACGTCACATATGATTTAGTTTTATCAATTTATTTAAAAAATAAATTATCCAATACAAACATAAGGTACATTTTTTTAAGTGTTCACAGATCTACGCTAAAATAAATATAAAGTATAACATTGTTTTTTTTATTGCATTACTAGAATATCGAAATATAAAACACGTTTTAAATGAGCTACTCTTTATCAATAAACTCCATTATTGTTTCAAAAAACTTTATCCATACGCCCAATTTTAAAAGTAAAGTAACGAATTATTATTATCATGAAAATAAATCAAAACAAAAAAATTCTCTGTTAATTATAAAAATAAAATAACAATTAAATGATATGAAACGAAAAAAATATTACAATTGTTATTTCGTTTAAAACAAAATTTAAATAAAACATTCTTGATTTGAATTTTTATTCAGTTGTAACTTCCATAAGCTATCACTAACGTCTAATTTATATATTTTCATCATGTTTCAGTTGACATTTGACACATTCACAGTTGGAAGATTCGTGTCATATACATCAGATGGATGTCCAGATGGTTACATGTCGATTAGAGAATCACAATTACCAGATACAGGCGGTCAATGGTGTGGTAGCGCTTGGGGATTTACAGTTTATTACAGTGAAACCAAGTCAATAAATCTGACTCTCATTCTCAGTAAACTTTCAGAACAGGTAATAAAATAAGAATCTTATTGAATTAATAACTGCTTATTTTACTAAAAAAAAACAGTTTATTTTTCTTATACGCGGCGATTAATTAAAACTGAATGAAATATTTTATTCTTAAGGGAATCGGGTACAACTTTGACTTTAAATTGTCCTACAAGTTTTTGAAGAAAAGTGAAGCACATTTGCGATACGGCAACAATACATTTCAAACGTGGCGGGGTCAGATGATAGTAGGAAGCTACTGTGACAGAATACTAGATCAGTGTGACCGGAAACCATGCCGAGTGCAATCGCCCAATTATCCTGGAGCATATCCTAGAAACGTCACTTGTTATTATCGCATCGAACAAAGAACGGCCCCGAAATCCAAAAGAGCTTTAATCGTAGTCAGACAACCCAACGCCCACAAGATTCATATAAAAGATCAAGTCATCAACTACGATAGAAGTCAACGAACCCTCAGGTAATAATTATTAGTTTATGGCTATGTTATTATTAGTTTTGAATAATTTTATAGTCATAGCGTCCACTTGTCTTACTCGTGTACTGTTGAATAATTTTCAAGTACGGAGATGTTGATTATTTTAAACATTATTATCATATCTGGCAATTGGCGCCGCCAATAATAATTTTACAACGATGTTAATTAAAGCGGGTAATAAACAAATTTTGTTCTTCGTTAATATCCCAACAAAATAAATTCGCCAGTCCGACAGTATTTACAGACAAACCATTTTAGTTCATTAATTCCATTCGAACAATACAAAACTTAAATAAGGGTAATGTATTTTTAATGAAACATTTCAATTTATTTGAAGCAGTTTACGAATTATGGCTCGGCGATTATAATCATTCTTGTTCTTTAATATTATAATATGAAGGATATATTTAAATACAATACATTATTTTCTCCACAAGTAATGAGGCGACAAAACAAAATATCGTTTGTCTGTATAAAACTGTTCAGAAAAAAATACCCAAGTATGTAAATATATTGTGCTCTCTTGATGTCGGCGACTGCCGTCAAATGAATACTCAAAATGATTAATGGCAACAAAGAAAATAATATGTTGCAACTCCTTTGGGTAAAATATTAAATTTGGAGATGTGGTAGTCATTAAGACTAAGCGCAATTGTCCTTTCTTTGAACATGTTTTAAAAATTCATTTAATTTATAAATAAATATAAAAACTATTTTACAGAAACTCACTTTAAATTTTAAGTATTACATAAATTTTGTATTGCTATAGGCATGTATTTTAGATTCTCCATAATTTTATAAAATGGAAAGCAATAAAAAGTTTGCTTACAATAATTTTTTTTAAAATTCAGAATTTATCGCAGGCAAGACATTTTAGATAATCAGTGACAAAATTTTACGTTGATTCATTTTAATAAAATAACTTGGAGCAAAGCCTCTAGTAAATATGTTAGAAATGTTTTATCTGAAACTTCTTTTTAAGATCGTCTATAGTACATTAGAGAACTTTGAGAACGATCTTGCTATTTATAAAATGTTTGAAATACATAAATAAAATTAATTTAACAGTAATAAATTAAAAAATCAACTCTAATCTCTTTAACAATAATTGTTAAAAATTATTTTTGTTGATCAAAAAATATTTAATATAATTTTTTTTTAATTTGGTTTTTAATGATGTAATTTATTATATATAATGCATAACAAAAATTCATCTCATTACTGAATAATCGAGCAAACGATCTTATGCTACGGTAAATGTCATCATTTTATTTAAAGTTCTAAATAAAAATAAATAAATAAGTAAATTTAAGATAAAAAGTAACGTAAAAAATGTAAAACTTATTAATATATACTTGATTTGCAATACTATGAATTTATTTTAAATAATTCATACATTAAAAGAAAAATTAAAACATAGTTAATATTTAAATCTTTAATTCTCAAAAAAAAATGCATAAACTGACAATCATAATAATGATGAAGTAAGTATAGATTATTTCTTTATATTAATGTATTTTAAAAATTCAGCATAATATCACTTTTGTGTTATGTTTTTAGTTTTACGACACGGTTATATTATTGCAAAAATAATGAATGATTTTTTACATTTTCTTAACAGTTGTAGTTAAAGAAATTGTTTTTTTTTCGAGGGCCTTAAGTCTTACTGTATAATTTTTTTTTTATTTCATTATTGGTAGTACTCATTAAACAGATATCTTAAATAGTACCTCATTTAAAATACTATTTAGGAAAAGGACAATTAACACAAGTCTAACTAAGCAAGACAAACGATGTTACGCCCTCTCAGAATAACATTTTAAGATAATTTATTAACACCGCTTTTCTCGGCAAAGAAGTAGCTGTGACCACTTGCACTTAAAGGTCTTTCTTTGTAATCACCATGGAGCATTTGGGTCTCTAGATTTTCAAAAAATTCTCGTATTTAAATGGATAGAACAAGATTATATTGTAAATCAGATTTGCTTTAATTATTCCTTTGCGCTTATCTAAATTATATCACAAAGTCTTTACAAATTTTTTTTTTTTATTGTAATTATGCGCATAGTGATGACTCAAAGAGCTTTTGATGTCTTTTAAGCAGTCAAAAAATTTCTTGCGTTGATTAACTGATCTATGAGGAATACATAGGACAGAAAATAAAACTTCACTTCAGAAACTCTATTGTCTAGACAATTTGCACTGAACTCAAAAAGAATACACGATATGTGCATTCTTCAAGTTCTACTAAAATTTCAAATTAGCCTCAACATGTCATTAATCACAAATAAAATTTCCAGAATTCGTGGAATTGGGTAAATAGTAGACAACATATTTTAAATCTTAAACGTATACTAACTTTTTCTATTAAAATTGTTTTTTCAATTAAAAAAAATATAAATTTAATAACGTATACGACGCATACTGCCGTTAAAGCAAAGTTAGAAACCCATGTTTATTTTGATTTATACTTCAAAAATATGTGGAAAAGTCAAAAATGCATGAATTTTTCAACACATATTTCTTTTTTATCATTTTTTTCCATTTTCAAATTGAAATATTTTTATCTCAGTTAATTTTGACTTTAAAGCTCTTAAAAAATACGATCTAATGGCATTTTTTCGTTTTTTTTTATCAAAATTCCATTCCTATTTAGAAAAAAATAAAAAAAAAAATCAATTTTTTGGTACCTAGGTTTTTGAGGTTAAGGGAGGGGTACCAATTTTTATTATTTATTATTTTTTAACTATTTAATAGTACACTTAAAGAGCTATTGTATAAAACCAATTTAAAAAATATTCAAGCATTTTTGACTCTACATAACTTTTAAATATAAATAAAAATGAGGATGGGTTTCCAACTTTACGTGAGCCTCAGTGTAAATATTATTATATAAAACATACGTGTGTATGTGCATGTGTTTGTGGGTAAAAAAGTTGTTACTTCTTTGAAGAGACAACAAGCTTGCATTCATAACAGTGTAATGATTGTAAAAATGAACGCGGCACACTAATAAATACGTGACCACTTGACTTCAAGAAGGATTTGTACAATTTTACCATTTATTTTATTTTTATAGTAACCAACAATATAATTCGAGTACCCACCAATTTGCTGTTTCTCTATTTATAAACGCTGATAAACGGCCGTCTTTCAAATTTTATGGAGAATAAAATATTATATTTTGCCTTTGGGAGAATCATTGTAGTGTACACAAGAAACAATACATATTAAAACATTGATGTATACAGAAGAAAACTAACGACACCGTTTTTCATGAACGAATAAATTTGCTCGTAAATTATTATTTTATACAACGAACTTATAAAAACGAGCGGTCAATAACTTTGATATGTGTATTCTGCTATACACATTTATAGAACTTTTATTTTTGTAAAATATTTAAACAGTTTACGGATATACTTTTATAAATTATTATTACTGCTTCCCCAACTTTCGTAGTGATATTGAGTTTTCTCATAATACAAAAAAAATAATCCATAAACTCCTACCCATATTCATTCAAGTGCAAACTTTCCATAATTGTAAATCAACTATGCAATGTTTTTTTATTTATTTTAAAAGAAAATAAAATTATTATTTATCTTCCTTTACATTTTTATGTACAATATCGTATCACTTTTTTCTAGGCCAGAGAAAACATAACGAGATAATGGCAATTTTATATTTTTTAATTTTATCAATATTTGATTTATATAGGGTATGGGATCAGTGCAATGTCATTCAAGATTACCTGACTGTGTACGATGGGTCTTTAGCCACAGATCCAGTTTTAGTGAGACTATGCGGTGGAGATGTAGTACCAGACATTGTCAGTTCGGGCCCAAACATGTTATTGGAATTCCACACCTCCGCTTACGACAATCCATTTCATCCAGTGCCACTAAGCTATTTACCCGGATTTGAATTGGATGTAGAAGTAATAAAGTTACTTGCAAATTGTTTATTTTTATTTATCAAATGTTTACATTTATTTATGACAATATGAAAAACTACCTTAATGTTTTATGTAAATTTCAGATATTATTCGTGGACAATAAGTCGCCTAGCTACGCACAAAATACCAGCCAGTGTGAATTCTTCATAAGACCACTCAATAATACCAACTGGGGTCTTTTAGATAGTCCTAAACATTCGTTGCCTCCAAACACTTCGTGCAAATACCATTTTCAAGGATTTAGTCATCAAACTGTATGGCTATCTTTTATTAAATATCATGCAGCTAGCACCGATCCTAATGCTTACCACTTAAGTAACGAATGTAACGCAAGGCTTCGTATTTGGGATAAAGTCACATCACCTAAAACCAAAAAGGTAAAAATCTTTTAAATACGACTTATTTAATAAATAAAACTATCGTTAATTAACTATTAAATTAATAAAACTCATATTTTCTTTAAATACTACAATTTTTTACAGTTATATCTTTAAATTCTATATTATTAGGCCAAAAACGTACTGTTGGGTGAATTTTGCAAGGAACAAGAATTGCCTCATTTATGCGATCACGCTCTATTGGGTAATGACACCAGACATGTTAGACCGTGCGGTTCTAAAGAGTCATACACGTCATCGGGGGATGAACTCACAGTAGAGATATATCTAAAACAAGGATCTGTACTTTTTCCTTTGCAATTTCTGTTAAGATACGAATTTGTCGACCAGTCAACAGAACTTTTACAATCATCTGCAACATCTGTTGTTACGAAAACAACAGTGTGTGATAGGACATTTACTTCCGGTGCTGGTTCCTTTGGGTCACCTAAAAATGTCTTTTTCTATGGAAGAGGTGGCCGCCGGAACTTGACATGTGTATTTCGATTTGTACCGTCCTCTGTCAATGAAAGAGTTCGTATTACAGTGACTAGAATGCATGTGGATGAAGTCGGTAGGGCTGTTTGTTCTACCGAAACAGATGCACGGACCGACAGAATGCTATGCGCATACGCATCCAAAGATGGTAGTTCAAGTACTAATGTTCGTGCTTTGTTAAACGTATCTCATTTTCCTTGGCCTGACATGGAACTGCCCATTGGATGCGCTTGTTCTAATCCCCGAAAACCGCACGTTATAGAATCGTATCCCGGTACCACTGTTCAAGTAGAATTTACTGTTCGGGATATGAACGTTACTCAAGACCACCGAGACTTCGGTTTCGCTGCAGAGTATGCATTTGACAAAGTACCCGGACATATGGCGGTTTCCTGTCTATCATTAAGTAAAAATAGACGATTACATGGACCAGGAGGGATCATTCAACTGGATGCCGGTAATAACGGTCACCGTGGGGTTCAAAATTGTACCAGCTATCCGTGGCTGATAGAACCATCATCTGATGGAAATTGGTTACATAGAACAGGTGGTTATGTTTTCTTAAAACTCCGAGGGTACGAAATTCCAAGCCATAGATGGCAAACTAATTCTTTCATGTGTGCCACACGAAACCGAGTGGTTGTGTATTCGGGGGCAGGGGACGGGCTCAAGACAGCCCGAGTAATATGCCCTTTTGACTTAGGAACGGACCATCAAGTGCGTAGCTCGTTTGAAGCGTTTTCACCGGGTTGGACTGAAACCCTTACTGACGCTCAAAAATTGCGCACCGACTCTAGGAGTGTAGCTATTGAGTTCCTCGAGCGAGAGTTTGGCTCATACGCAGTTACATGGATGGAAGTGTCCAAAATGCCACGAATTATGCCTTCAACAAATGTTTATGCCATGTCTTCAAACGTATACCCCGAATGCGCTTACAAGTAAACAAATAATAATATAAATTATCTTTCTTCACTTTAAAATATAAAATTATAGACACTCAAAACAAATAGATGAAATAAAATAATTTACTTTAAAATATATATATACTTAAAATTTTATAAAAAAATTATAAAGGAAAAGCTTTTTACTATTCACGTCACCGTTTTTATATTTTATGATATTATTTTTTTCCATTATTTAAAGTGTAAGTCTTGAAAAATTCTAAGTCTACGTTAGATATACAAGAACAATTTTAGTATCTACTATCTTACATATATATTCAACTTTATCTCAAAATATACTTTACAATTTATTCGTACTCTAAATTGTATAACAATAAAGAATTTTCGCTTATTTTTTTATTTTCTTGAAAAGCAAAATAACTGTTCATAGCTACTAGACTTAATAAACTTCGGTATTTAGTTTACATTTACTAAATAAACAAATAAATATTGGATTTTTTTTTATATTTCTCAAAATATTTATATGATACAAAACTTATCTTAAAATGATGTATTTTTTATTATAATTCCTTACAGTAAAACTTTTTAAATATTTTACTTTACAAAACTAGTATTCTCATTTTTTAATATATAAATTTTGTAGACATTCAACATAAAGGTATTTTAATCTAAGATGAATGTTATTTACAAAAGTATACACCGGTAAACATTTTTCAATAACAATAAAATGTATTTCATAGATCATTGAACCAAAAAGAATTGAAAAAATATGTGGTGTATATATATGTGTGTATATTATACTTGTAATATACTTTTTAACAAGCACAATATATACAGGAAATTTATTAGGTAACAGTAATATTTGTAGACTTTTTATAATGACTAAAAATCCATCAATCATTATATCATATAATCGAGATAAAAACCAAAGAATGTTATTGAAAGATTTATTTCATATTTATCTAGTTCTTTATACATTTGTTCTATATGAAAGAATAGAATCATCAAAAGAAGAAAAGCTTTTACTATAATAAAAAGAGGTGTCTAGATTTATGTCCAAAAAATTATAATTTTTTTCTGCGAACACTTAAATGTTTACAGGAAGTGAAATTTAAGATCATTAAGAAACATTTTTTTTTTTTTTGTATTATTTAGCATAATGTATTTATCTTTTTAATGTACTTATCTTCTATTTTACCTTTTTTTTTTTTTTTTTTTAAGAACTTTTCTTAGTATAAAAATGATATCTGATAATATTTTAACTAATCTGATAACATTAATAATATTTGAAATCAACTGTTTTTCTTAGAAAAATTACTAATTATTTCCAATAACATAATGCATTTTAATATAAAACATTTAGAAAATTGTATTTTCTAAAAATATAACACGTCATTTTTTGTCTAAACCCAATATTCAAAGCTGCAAAAATGTTCTCATTTTTCAAAACTATTGACTTGATACCTTACTTTTTGAACACCTGTATATCGTATCTCTTATTCCAATAGTAAAATGTTATGCTGATTCATCCCACAATACAATACATATTTGTTTTTAATTAAAATAGAAAACATTTGTCATGAAAAATATTACCTGATTAATTTTTAGGTGTCCTGATCTTAATGCTTGCATCAGTTCTAAATTTTGGTGTGATGGAATACCACATTGTCCAATGGGATTCGATGAAGATCCAACCAACTGTTCGATCAGTTCCGGGATAATTAACTTAACGTACGTAGGAGTGCTGATTGCCACGGCACTTGTGCTATTCACCGTCACTGTCATATTGGCGGTAGCTTGTCTCAAGTATAAATCTAAAAGAGATCAGCGAGCGAAAAATGATTGCCATCGACGAAAAAAAGGTGGAGATCTTAAGGCTGATCAAACACATGTTAATAAACTGACGTTTTTGGAACAAAATGGTGGTATGAACAAGCGATACCCATCATCGTCTGACGATCTGTACTTAGAATGCAAAGACAGTGTGTGTTGACAAATTGACGATGATCCTGTGGAAACCACAGTTTGAAGTCCGGTTGACGCCACCGGAAATGTGTTGACCAGGTTCATTTTATGGCTAATATTCATTCACGGTACAGGATAGCTCAAGTGTGATTACTTCACAAACTTATGTCAGAGAAATGAACATCGAATTAGTTTTGCAATGAATATCAACTACTTTACTCCATGTTTTACTTGTGATGCAATCTTATTAAAGTACTTTTATAAAAATATCCCAACACTAATAATTTATTCAACATAAAAAATAACTTATATTTGTAATGCTTAAAAAATGTCACGCTACTCAATTAACAAACTCATCTAAAATTTCCTTTATTTTTAATTATTTTTCATACAATTTTTGTTATTTTACTTCAAAAAAGTTTTTTTAATAGGTTATATTCAATAAAAAAAAAAATGAAACACTTCTTTATATCTGCCAATTCTTAAGTTACGTGAGTTTTCTACTCATATGATAATATTCCCCCATTATAGCAAAATAATTTTATGTACATATTTTCAAATAATTCAATTAAAAGTTTTACCTTTATGTATAAGAAATATAAATTAAAAATATATTTCAATAATTTTATTTTCAACATAATATGCAAAAAATTTGATCAGCTATTTATTTGGAATCGAATTGAAAATGAAGTTATTAATTCACAAATATTGTAATGAGACATTTATTTGTAAATAAAATTTGAATTTTATTTTTAAATATTGTTTTATTTTATTTTCTGGATTGTAAAAATGTATCGTAACAGTCATTATAAATATGTTACCTTATTATTAAATACAAACTTTAATGTTTGAGTTTAAATTGTTGAATCGTCTCGATAGTTTGAATTAAGGTCAAACGAATTTATTTAAGATATTTATTGTATAATTTTTTATATTTGACTGTGGGGTCTATAAAGCAAAAGATGTTGATGAAAATTTATATTTGCTTACTTTCAGGGTTATTTAAAAACCACAATATGTGTAGGTAATAATAGATGTATAATAAAATTTCGATAGCAAAGTACAGGGGCTATTTGATAGTTGGAGTGTAGTAATCCCCAAATGTTTATCAATGTCATTAGTGATCGGCATACATAAAATGAATTGTGAATTTTTTTTTTCTTACCATGGTACTTAAGTTGGCAAATTTATCAACCCTCTAAAAATAATCTTTTGGATCGCCACTGATGATATAAAGTGTTATATAAAATAAATGATAGATAAAAGACTTCACCTTTACTAAATTTATTATTATAACTTGTTTTTAAACATAATTTTTTAATTTTCTGTAAATATTTGTAAAGTAATTTGTTTTTTTATTTTGTGCAACTTTAATGTTACCATTATTGTAATATGTTATAATATAATACATTTGTTTTTCATTTTTATTTATACTAAACATTAATTTATTATAATTATTATTACTTTTTTAAACATTTACTATTAACTACTACTTATAGTTCCAAAATTTGTATATATGGATATGTGCTCATTATAAATAAACTGTAAAACTTATTAAAAATCTGTTGCTACGTTAAATTTAATTCGTACTTCTTTTTTTTTTATAAAAGACTAATGCAATTTAAACTTTTTTTAATGACACTACTTGAAGGATTGTCGACAAAAATACTATTTTTTCACCATTGTTAAGCAAGTTCCCTGTGCTTAACTTTACATTAAAATTGTCTCGATTAGATTATATTATATTTTAATTTTGCAAAAACGTTTAAAAAGTTAATTTGAACCCTGTAAGTATAATTTATACTTCTACAGTAAGTCATTCGCATTACAAACGTTTCAATTTTAAGTTTCTTCCAATTTGATATTTAGTGGTCATAATAAAAAATATTTACAATTGGATTGATTAAAAATTGAAATATCGTGAATAAAAATTATTTCTTTTAAATATTAAAATTGATATTGAATGAACACCAGCAACGCTTAACTTTATTACTATAAAATAATGTATTGAAACCTTCTAGTAGATAAGCATTAGTAGATTTTATACAATGTAAGGTTCGTCCAAACTTCAAACTGATCGCTTCAATGAGTTTATACAGTCATTTTGTCAAAATCTAAAACTAAAATACATAACTTTAAGAGATAACTTATTCAAAATCAGAAAAGTACACCGAAATATATTTATACAAAAGCGTTCAACCACATGTTAATCTCATTGTCCTATACACACATATCATATCAAGTAAAACTTCCTCGCAGAGAACCTTATTCTGTTCGATCGCCTTAGCCTCACCTTATTTATTTTGTTTGTTTGTCCGTTGTGTTGTCACTGCGCTTTGAAGTATGTATTGAATTTATGTTTTCTATAGCATTGAGTAGGCGTACCTGTTTAGTATTGTGTGTCTACCGGACGAACCATCCCTACTGAATACGCTCATTGGTTTGATACGCCGCTGTTCTTGTGCTACGTTTTACAACTCGGTGAACTCTATATAATTTTAAACCACAGCCAATGATAGTTATTATTAGAAGTTACCTCATATCCACCCCATTCGAAGACTAGTCGGATGGTCACCTTTTGTCGTTGCTTAGAACTAATTGCCTAACAGAGCGAACGGCTTGTAGATGCCCGCAAAATGTGATTATCATAAATCCAACGAGTGTTGTTTATCTGTGACCAATGAGACAAAAGCGGATTGTGATTTAGCGAGAAGACTACACAATTTCCCCCGCGGCTGTCAGGTGCCAAAATATTCCCCAGACGTTAATATAGGCAGACATTCGGTCTGGTTGTGAATCACTTTTTTTATTTTATTTCACAGTAAATTGTCCTACCACCAATTAAACATTAAAAATAACACCGAAAAGATATAATAATTATTTAATAGTTATAATCATTATCAGAATGACTTAATACAACAGCATAAAAATTATACCAAATAAAAACATATTTTTCCCAATTGAATAAGATCTTTTGTTCTACTAAAAAAAACTTAAATTATTTTAACAATTGAACCTAATAATAAGACAGGAAAACTAGTTACCATTGAATTTTTTTACACATTCAATGGCATTATTATTTTTTAAATTTTAAGTAATACTCTTACACAAAAAGTGCCAAATAATCTTATTTTTAATAATATACATTTTTGCTGTAATCAATTTAAAAAACATCATGACTTCTAAGTTTTTATTTAAACTATGTAAGTAAATATGTCATTGCACACTTTTTAACATGATAAATATTGGATGACAATTAAAAGTAAACTATACAGCAATAAAAATATAGTGTACTATCGTTTTAAATGATTTAATACAAATAATACATTCGATTAATGTTATTATGCTGTTGATCAAATAAAATTAAATACAATTGTTATCGACTTAAGCTAATAACGATTTTAAAACATTTGCTATTAGATTCTTGAATGTTAATATTTTGTTCTATATCCATGTTCAACTATTTGAATGATAATTTACACAAACATTTTATACGCCATATTATCTTTAACAGTTTGGCGAAGAGAAAGTTTTAATGAGTATAGAAAACTTTAATTGTTCCATAGTAGTTTATTTAGCTTTAAAATATAATGTTTTCACCGTAACCGGATGGTTTGAAGTTTTTATTGTAGTTAATAGAAGTTTAATTTTGTTCGACATTTCTTTCGGAAAAGTAATTGCTGTATTAGCTTTACTATTTACATAACACAAACATATGAATTTTAATTACAAGGCCATGATATATTTTTTACTAAAATAAATTAAATATTAATTTATTCAATAAGACACCGTTGTTTAATACATTATTTTCTTTAAAAGTAACTATAGTATAACGAAATAGCATTTTTATTTAAAAACAAACTAATTTAATGAATTTAAAATTAAATTTAAGTAGTTATAATAGTCTTTATTATAATATTTATTACTAATAAAAATTTATTTCTTCAATTCAATGATAGGCGGGTCTTTTTTATATTTTTACAGCAACTGCTTTTTCATAAAACTAAATTGATAATGAACATTTTTTATTAAAATATTTTATTCGCATTAATAATTTAGTATAATATGTCCAAAAATTATTCATCCAAATTTAAATAATAAATTTAAAATCTGTAATCTAAGGCGAAAGAATGACTAACTATTTGAAAGAGACGGTTATATTTTTTTAACTTTCTTTAGGTAACTTTTAGGATTTCTTAAACCGGGTAACATGCTATCATTAGTTTGGGTCGGAAACTGTAAGAAAATCTGTAACAGAAACTTTATACTTAAAAATAATTAAGAATTGATTTACTCGGCAGAAACGGTTGCAAATTATAATATTTTCAACAATAGATAATTAACTAATTAAGAAAATGACTCATCAATAATAATTTTTGGACCAGGTTATCGAAAGTTATTAACATTTTATAGAGATGGCTGGATGTAAGATTTAGGTGTTGTTGTTATTACCACTACTTATTATATTAGTACTTTTCTCCTCGCATAGGTATAAAAATATCAATAAATTCCAAAATACTAATCAAAAAGTAGTTATCGTTCAGTCATTTTTTTAAATAGATCTTTTTCTAGTTAATATGCTAGTTATAATGTATGTTTTAATTGGTACCCTTATTATGTCATAAGAAATTAACATAAAAAACGTTTCTTGATTGATAAATTGAGAAAACAAGTACATATTGAAAAAAAAAAAAAAAAATTCTCAATATTATTTTTATTATTTGATTAACTTAGTAGTTTATGGTAAATAATAAACCCAGTATTAAACAATATTGATTTACATTAGATCTTTTAATTTTTTTCGTATTTAAGAAATACAATATGAAATATGCTTTAGATATAATCAAAAAATGTAATAACTGTAATAAAAAATATGAAACCTGACCCTTTATCTGCCTATAGAGGCTAATTCCAAATAGCAAATTTTTCACAAAAGTCAATTATTTCAACTAATTTATCTTGTAAAAATGTTCCGGAAATACTGCGCCCTTCAATTATATGTTAAATTAAAGCTTTTGTTACGTACTATAAATTTAAAAAATAATTTGTCCAATCTTCTATGTGTAAATGGCCTTCAAAGTTGAACAAATTTATTAAATATTTATTCATATATTCTACTTGAACTTGTAATCAGGATATAATTAAAGAAATAGGAGTTGATGTTGTGTTTTGGAATAATGAAACAATTCCATTTAAAAATTAAACACTATCTACAGATTTGCCTCGAAGCGTTTTTATGAATGTGATTTTAATCACTGTCAGATATCATCTTTACTTGTCCAAACTATGCCACGTCCAACTGTACTACCGTTTTCTATTATAATTATTGTCATCTTAGACTACGTTTAGAGCATTTTTTGTCATTATTAATCGCTAATATAGTTCTTTATTTTTTAAAAGTTTTTTAAAAATAGTCATTTTTTAGTCCACATTGTACCAAAAATTTTGATGGACCAAAAAAAAATGTATAACAAGTACTCATAAAGTTACAAGAATTTTAATACATGAGTGAAACCTATACTCCATGTTCGTTCCATAACCACATTGTGTATTAATATGCTTCTAACTCAATAAATACTTATATAAAAAATTGTTTGTAAGGAAAAGGATATTTTGAATGTCCGAATAAAACAAAAAATGAACATTTATTATAATTTTTCTTTCTTATTAGTGATAAAAAATAAATAATGTGCTCTAAACGTAGTCTAACGAGATAATAATTATAAAAAAAAAAGTTTTCAACAAAATAATTGTGTTAAAAGTTAGAAGCTCTGTCAGTTAGGTTTGAGACGACTGTATATATAAATATATATATAAAAATATGTACTTAGTTAGAATTTACCGTTTTCTAGCAAAAGCAATATAGTTATTTTGAAGGGTGTTACAGACGTTAAACAAATCGAAAACGATTGAACACAATGATGTGACCATCAGCAGTATCCTAAATTATAGCTCAATAAGAATGCTCCATTAGTGATGGTCTAAATTGAGTAATAAAACAAAAAGCATTGTCGTGCTAGTGTTATTATTTTTAGACAAATGTGTGTTATTAATAAAGAGCATTCACAATAGAACTCTCAGTTATTTTTGAATTCTGTCTATAATATAATACTTGTTTTAATATATTCATCATATATAATGATAAATACTAACTGTTTTGAAGATTGGAAAACCTGATATAAATTAAAGTTAATATGGTAAACAAAAATTAAACATTTTTCATTTATATTTGACAGTATATTTCAAAAACTCAAATTATTACTATAGATTTTTTGGTATTAAAAAATATAATTCTGGTATATAATGAGAAATGAGCTACTATAATTTAGGTTAAATTTAATTGAACAAAATTAACGTAAACTGCGAGGAAAAAAAATTTGTAATTGCTGGTAAAACAAAAAAAGGTATCTACTATAAAATAAACAAAGTTGTGAAACTGAAAGATTGTATTCTTGATAAAAACTTCTTAGGTACACTCATCCTGTACACA